TGTCTGCATATCTGCGCCTAACAAATGTGGTACTACGCATGACTGAAATTTTACGTTTATAATCGTAGCAACAGACCTCAGATGAGCCCAGACGCTCTGCGGCTCTTGTTTTAAATAATCGCTGCGCTGGTAAAATATCTGAACTACTTCACCCGCGGAAGAATGATGTGTATGAATCTTAGCGAGTAAATTGACGCTCCAGCTGATTGTAGCTTTTTGCACATGTGTTTTGCATAGCAACCATTAATATGCAATTGCAGGCAAACGCATGTGTTTACACCTTACTTATCATCACTAATAGTATGTGATAAAGGCGAGAGTTAACGTCGTCATCACCCGTCTTTGTTAGCCGATCAAAAACTTCTTCACAAGATAACGTACGGGAGACACGATCCCTGCCGCGCCTCCTTCGAGTTGCTGTGCATGAGAATTTGCGGCTTGGCAACGCCACACGACAGTAAATAACGTGAAAACGGCGTACGACAAATGTGTAGTGAAATCAGTATCAAATACGAGTCAAACTCCTTTGTCTTCATTAATTCCTGGCTACACGTATAGTGCGTTCAATTTGCTTCCCCAGAGCCACCTGGGTAAGAAATCGAACGCATCTGGGGTCGGGAAGATAAACGAACGGTTTTTGGGTTAACCCGGGTTAATTATCATCATGGATGCAGAGGGATGCTAGTGACAAGAAAAAAAGAATAGCAATTGCAATCTTATTATTAGTGAAATCTAAGAATGAGCAAACACACGCAGTCATCGACAGTCATGCTTCATTACTGCTTGAAGATTTTTGATTTTGAAGATTTTGTTGCAATGAATTGTGGGATACTTCCGCAAGTGAGCGGCTCGGCTAGATCACAAATTGTCTTTGTTAATCATGCAGCATGTCATGTCATATGTAGCTGCTGTTACATCAGATATATGTTTCAAAGTTCTGTGCTTAGTTTGTTCACAAAGTCTGCACACGGTTCTGTGCTTATGGCCGAAATTGACTCTTCTACTTCTATGAACCTCTTTGTTGACGACGCAGTTCTATACAGCACTATCTCTAGTAAGAATGAGTAGTTAGCCCTCTAGAGTGTCCTCACTCATGCTGAAAAGTGGGGAAACAACGTGGGGTATCGGTATGTCTTTTAATACTGAAAAAATGTAAAAATATATTTTTTGCTGTATCACTCTTAGCAGAAATGGAAATCTATATAACGGTTTTTGATTATTCATCCAGTCCAATCTCTTCTCTCTCTCCAGAGTTGTGTAATAAAACGATACTGTGAGAAGAGATTTATCACGAAATACTTGGCAACTATTGGAATCGACTATGGCGTAACAAAGTATGTGATCTCTGTTATCTTATTATTACCATATATACTACAATTTATTTCATGTCGATAACTACTACTGTTATCAGTGTTACCATTTTTAAAATATAGTATGTTTTATTCATGTGATACATGTAATTCAATGTTACTGTAGTGTAGTAATGATAAGTCTACTTATAAAAATTAAATTTATTTTATTCTTGTAATAGTTATACGTTAAAGCCGCACTATGCGCATTCAATAAATGCAATAATTTCTCCAGTACTAGACTAGCAAATACTTCGTGTCATGCATAATCACACTACCTTATGACAAAATAAACTCTAATTCCTCCCATTTCACTGCGCGTTGTCTTATAAAGGGCATTTGAAAATACCTCCAATGTTGTTCAAATTCTCCGATGTTGTTGACACTTTCGCGTTGCTCTGCGAAGCAACCGTGGAGCGGTGTTGCGGTACAGCGGTACGGGTGTAGCCAAGATAAAAACATGTGACGTCACCTAACCGATTCTTGGCGAAATTGTTTGGCAAACAATTTTGCGTTGGCGCCAGATTACCAGATTTCGCACCTCTTTCTTGTGGGTTTTAAGCAAACGCGGTTTTGCCATAAGGTAGTGTGATTATGCATGACACGAAGTATTTGCTAGTCTAGTACTGGAGAAATTAGCATTTGTATGCGCATAGTGCGGCTTTAAGTGATGGCCATTAATATGAATTTTTATAGAATGTGTATTCAAATTTTCAGAGTAACTGTGCAAGATCGGGAGGTTAGAGTAAACATTTTTGACATGGCAGGACATCCAATTTTCTATCAGGTATTTACAGAGATGTCAAGTTTGGGAAATGGTTGAGAGTGGTGCCCCCCTCCCACGGTATGGAGCTTTTTCGAAATTTGAGGTTTGAAATGGTGCAATTTAGTGCATACCTATGGTATGATTTATTGCCTTTATAAATATAAGTTCTTACTCATTTTGAATGATTAGAAGTATTGGGAAATATGAATTGAATTTTTTTATGACTCAGCATGTGTGTCATATGTGTCATGCCACTTTATCACTGCTCTGTGAGCTTGCTATTGAATTAAGTAAAAGTGCATGCTGAGAATTGAAAAGTAAACAAAATACCTCAGTAACCTGCAAAGCCATCATCCAGGCAGGATATTGGATTCCAAGCAGGCAAATAAACGCTTATACTTATAGCGTATACGTATTATACGTAATTATTACGTATACGGCCGGCCGAAGCGAGCTAGCTAGCTGGGCGGCTGCACAGCGGCGCTGTTGATCGGGCCTTAGCCTTCCGATACTAGTATACTGGTATCTGTGACTGAAAATAGGGGGTTTTAATGATTTATTTATTGATTTTGATTTTTGCGTGAGAAATTCAGAGATGAGTGTGAGAGCGTGAGAATTGACCAAAATGCGTGAGACTTGACATGTCTGTATTTATACTTATGCCAGGTAGTAACTCCCCAAATTGTAAGGAACAATGTTAACAATCATTAGAATAATAAAATTATACATTAGAATAATAAAATAAATCTCCGGGAAACTAAAAGTAATCTGGATAATAAATACTGGCTCATACAATGCTAAAGCCACATGTTGTTATCAACATGTATAAATGTCCATTCATTGTAATGGTATAATAAGATGTTTATTGTATTGTATTGTATTATATTGTATTATATTGTATTGTACTGAACTATGTTTCAGGTTCGTAATGAGTTCTACAACGAAACAAATGGTATTCTGCTTGTGTATGATGTCACAGATAGGAACAGTTTTGGTGCTTTACAAGAATGGTTAGATGAAATGAAGAATGAGATGGGTAACCCATCAGATATGAGCAATGGTGTATTCATTGTCTGTGCTAACAAGGTAATGACATTTTGCCCTGCACGGGTTATAGATGTAACCATTGTGTCTGCCGTACACACTGTTCTGTTTTATTGGGCAATGGCACAGAAAATATTGTTATAAGACTCGAAAAATAATATTGTTATAGGACTCAAAATTTCTGTATATTAGGAAGATAACACGATGTTCATAAGACGTTATTCTGTCTTGTCATGCTATACAAACGCATTACATGAAATAGTTATCTTATTTTTGTGCAGATTGATAAAAAGCGTGAGGTGGAGGAGCTGGAAGGAAGACTGTGGGCAGAAACAAAGGGCTTCCTCTATTTTGAGACGTCTGCACAAAGTGGTCAGGGAATCACAGATATGTTCGAGGTACATTATCATTGGGAAAATTTAAAGAAGTATAAGATCTGCTGCAGTTATTATACAATTTTGTTATTGTATTATGAAACAGATTTCACAGAAGTTATTATAATAAATCAATTGAAACTAAGTTAACTAGTCCACATGAGGGTCCTCTAGGTCCAGTAGTAACTGTTCAGTATTCCGTCTTATACTAGACAGGTGCAGTATCAAACCAAATCTTGTACAATGGATGAATCCTGTATGGTGAAATTCCTGTTACACCTATCACATAATTTGTGTTGCAACTTGTTAGAAAAAGCTAGATCGATTTTGAATCGCTTCAATGGCTTATTATCTTACAAGCCATAATGTCGTGTTGTAATGGAGGTTCTAATAACCAATTTTTGTCATTATATTACAGACACTATTTAGAGAGATGGTGAATGTCTTGGAAAATGGCCCGCAGCCTTTAGTAACTCCAGAAAACACTAGTGGGTTAAGCATGGGCTACACTAAAGAACAGATTGAAGCTATTCACAGACTAAAGTACTGCAAGAACTCCTTTGAAAAGTTGGGCCTCAAAGTTGGAGCAACACGGTAGGAGACATTTAATTAGCCTTACGAATTCAGTACCTTTAGTCAATATTTTCCCCAGTAGATGGCAGATTTAATATATTGTAATAATATTTGGTAATCCAATGAACTATAGCTGCGTTCACACGAGATTCACGGCCTCGCTGGTTCCGTACTTATCTGGTGCTGAATTCGGCTGAAATACCGTGCTAACACAACCCGGAGCGTTCACACGAGAACCGAGGCTTGGCTGGCTAGGTATAATATAGACTGGTACCCGGTCGACAGTTCCACACGCTACACTAACGTCGTGTAGCGAACGGGTACCAGTCTAGGTAAGCGCACTACAGTAAGAGGCCTCGAATTGCGTTCACACGACAGACAATTACGCGGCCAGCGTGGTGCCGAATGTTTCAGTACGGTACTTGCGAAGCCGCGTATAAGTCTTGAATATTTTTACCGTGTGAACGCTCGGTACGGAACTGAAATCCTCGTGTGAACGCAGTAATATATGCATACGTATACTGTGAACACATGTTCATGGTAATACATATTGTTATATAGGATGCACAAGCTAAATCTTGATAGTTGTGTGCATTGTTGATGGATTTGATATATAATATCAAGAAGGCACATAAAGGTAAACTATAGTGTATGTACTCTTGATAATATAGTCATTGTCTGTAAACAAATGTAAAAAAACATCAACTTTTACCCCATTCTGACCACTGTTACAAAATCGGTTGTCGTGTACAAAATTTACATTGTGTATTGCCTCGTTTTGCATAGGATTTGTTGTAAAAATGCGTAACATATATCCATGGCTTAATATTCCTCAAACTGATTAATGCATTCCTATTCCTCAAAACCTTGTAAATGTTTCCTAATTTGTTAACAATTTCACTGTGCAATTCAGGAATTCACAAGGAGTGCATATTTATGTGAAATTCAGACTCATATTGTTTGAAATTCTTGGTCTATCTTAGCTCCGTTTTTTACAGGGACGAGGTCAACAAAGCATACCGAAGACTGGCGGTGCTGCTGCATCCTGATAAAAGCATTGCCCCTGGCAGCGAAGATGCTTTTAAAATTTTAGTCAAAGTTCGTAGTACCCTTCTAAACATTGCTTTTTAGATTTTGGAACCTTGTGCGTTGAGAATTATAATTTCTATGCCTTCTTTTTAATCTGCATTGTCCTTAAAATTGGGAGTAGTTTTCCAGTAAATAAGGTATTTTATATGCAAGAGACAAAGTTTTAAAATACCACAAATTGTGAATGTGTTTGTTAGGTTCAAGAAACCAATCATATTACTGTCTTTCATGAATGTCACACTGTCAGTACTATTTTTTTTTTATCTTGCCACCACGGGTTCATGCTATGCCAGGTCATCCTTGTGTCTGACTCTGTAAACAGTTAGCTATAGACATGTAGGGTGAATGTACAAAAACATGCATCCCGCTGAGTTTTACTCGGGTTCGTTATAGAGTTAAATAACTCGTAAATAAACTTGTTAAGGTATTTGATGAAATAAGCTTATTACACTGCAGAAGTCAAGCAGTAAATATATTCTTATTTTTGGTGTTTGAAGTACCCCCCCCCCAAAAAAAAAGTTCTCAGTAGTAAAATATTGTTACCATTACATTATAGAGAATAGTGGGGTGAAACAGGTTCTATACGTATGTAATTAATATGTATCTGGTAGGCAACATTTTCACTTTTCAGCCACACAGAAGGCTAAACGTAGAATTTTTTATTTACAAGAACGTGTATGAATTTGACCGTAATGATTTACACAGGTATGATATATGTATCTAAGATTATATCGAGAAAAGGATTGAGCAAATAACTGTCCTTCATAGCATGAAGTGTAAAAGCAGGAAATAGATTTAAATCGAGTGCCAAATACACAGCTGCCGTTATTGAGTCATGTAGTCGAATATTTTAGCCATTTTAATCAATAAGTCATTATTTATTTATCTACAGTTGTATATGCTGAGAGGAGTACTCACTAACGATAAGATGGTGCATCAGCACAAGTGCCAAACTGCGTCTCATTTGTATCAATGTACGAGTATATCAAGTATATATATATATGAGGCTAAGAATTATTTTAAGATGTGAATACATCATGTATATAATAGGCAATTTTTTATAATAGCCAAACCCTTTTTGGGCTTGTTTGTATGGGCTAGAAAGTATGTCTCTTAGATCCTAGATCTCTTATTGCACAATTTTATAGCAATCTTGCTGTATATTGTTTTGTCATATTTGCTTCGTTCTACATGCTTTTATAATGAAATAAAACAATGTAATACTAAATATAATATTCTCCTGTTTAATGTATGCCGCATACAACAGTACAACTTGAAACAAAACTCATACTGTTACTCATACAAGAAACTCAAGGAAATCGTTTATAAATCGTTTACAAGTAAAACTGCATATTAAATAGATATGTTGTTCATTTAAATGTATGTCTTCTCACACTAAATGACTTGGATTGCAGTTCTTACTAACCTCCTCACAAGCCACATGGACTAACTTCTGAAAAAGCTACCAAGCTGTTCCTTTAAATATGTACCATTGCTAATAAAACACCTAGCATCTATGCAATACCCAAGCTGATAAAACTTCAAAAATTCCAAAAATCCAACCCAATATTCACACTGACAATTGCATACAAATATACAAGCAGCAGGATACAGTGCTGACTTCCTAACACAATAATATACGATAAGTATAACATTCTTATGCATGACATCACTGGGCAAATAATCAAGTTAGAACAGGTAAAACTATACAAAAAGAGATAATATGTTAGAAATAACTAAGGTTAACTAAATATACAAGCCTACCTGCTATATTATGTAGTAATCTCTCTTACTTAAATTGAGACCTTTTTGTAGTATGCTTTGTAGCGACCATAGTAACAGTTTTCGACTCATGTTATGTTTCATTTACTGATAGTAGATACAAGACTACTTATAACCATGTTCACAGAAAAACCAGCTTATAGGCACAATCACATTAACTGAAATTATATATATATTTATATACACACATATATATATATCATGTATATACATATATATATATATATATTCTGTCATCAAGCTCTGTTGCCTTGAATTACATCCGCTGTCACGCGTGCCTAGAAGAGGCAGGACTTGCGATGGTCTTCTGCGATAGATGGAATGCTAGTGGCAAGCTGGGTCCTCTGGGCCAACTGCTTCCTGTATGCGGCCGGGTTGAAGCTATCGATTGTCTGCGGAGTTGCAAAACACACAGAGAATGTCACAAACGTGTTCAAATATGTGCACATATATATACATATATATACTATATTATATACACACATATATACTATTCAGTCATCACAGGTGTGATGCTGTTGAGATATTTCGAAACGAGCCAATTCCTGTGATACTGGAAAAACATGGCATATGGCCTATATTACATCTAAAAGAATTCAGAAGTCCCATTAATTCCTGATGACCCTGCACACAATTAGCACAATAAATTCTAAAGGTTATGATGACAATTAAGTAGCTGTAGTGCATCTACCACACTACATTCAACTCAGCTTCGAGTAGGAAGATCACGCTATGTCAAACACCTTCTTGACGATGTCGGGAACGTCATTAGAGAGACGCGGCAGTGCGCGTGGGGTCACACGACAGAATGGTGACTCAGAGCAGGCTAGCAGAAAGTCCCGTGTGTACACGACCCTGTTGTTTGCTACGGCAGCAGATCCCTCCTGAAGTGTGTTGGCATCTACAAACACACAGCATCTGTAGTGCAACTGCAAACTTTGTAGTTCTGATTAATATTTTTATCGTTATGTATATATAGTTTACAGCTTTGGTTATCCTCTGATACACGTTTCTAAACAATGTAACGCTAGAAAGTAACAGGGTCTTATTACCAAGGATACTACAGTAGGGTATGAGTTAAATGCAAATGGAAATGATGCAATTCTAGACAACCAACTCTAGGCAACAAAACCATAGACCATATGCCTACAGTACGTTTACATTATGATTCTCCCCTAAACTACAAACCTTACAGTTCAGTTACCTTGTACGGGTTTAGCAGCTGTGGCTTTACTACCTTTGGCTGCCGTTTGCATAGAAACTCTGCCAGTGGCTTGTATTGCACTTTCTGCTCTCGAGCTGACTGGGGCAATCCTGATCGGCGTTGCACTAGCCAACGTAACGCTGACGGGTGTGACGCTAACTGGTGCGGTGGGCTTTGTAGTCCTACTCTGCTCCAGCGTCTTAGCAAACTGTGCACGGCGCCCCCTGGCACTAAACGTGTGCGACAAATCGTTGGCCTTCTCAGCCATGTGAACGGCCTGCCGGCTACTGTCCGGAAACAGAGGCTGCCTCATAAGCATTACCTGTGGGAGGTAAAGCAACTGTAAGTGCCCTAGCCATGAGGGCAGTCTGCAAGCTTACATAGAAACTGCTGTAGAGGCTAGAGCATTCTGGAAGCAGTCATTTCTACTATAACTTTCCTGGTCATAAGGACATTCTAAAAAGTTCTAAACTGCTCTAGTTATCAGGGCAGTCGGGTAGTTTACTGACACTGGCCTAAAAATAGGACAACCTACCTGTGGGTAACCACCATCTAAACTATATCCATACGCAAGATCAAGTCCAGGTGTAGGCTGCTGCAGTGAGGGGCAACTGTCAGGTCTCATCGGATAGCCATTTTTCCTGCCCTGTGCAGGAGAGCTGCGTAGATGCTGCACCTACATGCAAATACGTATGCACTTACACCTATATCACCTGTTCTCTACCACAACACTAGCATCTCACTGCAATTTACAGATGAGGAGAGACCACTGAAGGATCACTGGTGCCAAACAAGACGATACACTGCTCTGAAGCACTGAAGAATGTGAAAGGATTTGTTACCCACCTTGTTGTAGTTGTTGAATGGGTGTTGTAGCTGAGTTACACTTGGAGGTGCCATCGGTGGCATGACATGAATGCTGTGTGGACGAGTGGTGGCTACGGCATCATTCAGATCGGGGGAAGTATAAGATCTGTACATACAAACTAACATTTAGCAAACTTTGTATATTGGAAAATGACTACGGAGTTCGATACAAAGAAGGATCTAGCTGGGAACGTGCATGGCGGCAAGCAAAAAACAGCGACAGTTAAAAAAAAAAGCAATAACCAAAGTAGTTTAACTAATTTATATATATCCAGAGTAAACAAATTAATTATATGTTTAACCGATTCTGTCATATTATACACAGCTTATGCATATGTCAATGGAATCAAATTATGCATTACTAAAACACTTGGTTGAAATAGCTGTATTATATTTGTCCTTTTTAAAACTAACATGCAACATGCATGTCAAAAGAAAAACATGGTCAACAAAAATTTAAATTGAGATTAGAGAGAACAATAAATCCCATCTTCGGTTCACCACATAGTGGAGAATTACGAAGGAGGCTAGTAGACAGCAAGGGCGCAACCACGTGTTGAAAGTTGGGGGGGTCCCAAGCAGCCAATAGCAACGTGATCTGCGGGCGAGCGAATATCACGTATTGGTTTAATATCACGTATTTCAGCGTGTTGATGGAAGTGTTGCATAATAATTAAATTTATTGTGATGTCATACCAAAATGTTTTATTAATTAGATTAAGCTAGTAGTAAAGCTACACACAGACTGTGCTAACTGTGTGACACCGTTAGCATGATTAAGATGAAGAGGAAAATAATAATGATGAAAATAATAATGCAAAAAAATGTCTGACACGTGAAAACAGAGAACAGTGTTAGAACCCAAATGTGACCTTCCTTGAGTCACACATTGCAACAAAATCATTTACAATTGCTTCAATATCGATTCCAAAACACGTGATAAAAACAATCGCGTTGATTGGTTCAATTTTCTTTTCGCCGTCACGTCAGCCGGCAAAAGTCAAACTCATTTGACTTTCGCCGTCGCCGTGAAACCGGGCTGGCGCCGTGTCGTGTCAGTGGAGACTACGCCATAAGATATAATAGATTTGAACTTTGCCGGTAGGGGTGAATGGTGTCGCGCCGCTTGTGTGGAGATGGGCCTCTTTTTTTAGTGCTATAACACAACGCAGCGTAGCTATTTAGACACAGTTGGCTTGCGAACGCGTGGTGAATGTCGTGCTCGTTCCATGCATGTGAGATTGAATGTACTATGTAGGTCGAATCTAAATTATATTAACAAGGGTTCTATTTAGATATCTGAATCTGAATCACAGTTATCACACTGCACTTGCCCACCTGGGGTTTTTATTTATTTTAACTTTCACCTGTGAAATATGGATGTTTCACGATAATAAACGCTTATCGGACTATTTTGGACCTCCCCAGAAAATAAGGTCTTCCAGAAGCTGGGGAGGTCCACATAAAAGTTGGGGGGGTCGTGACCCCCCCGACCCCCCCAGTGGTTGCGCCCATGGTAGACAGTAACCACATGGCATACGTCCAGCCATAAATATATCAAATATCCAGCCATGTTACATTAACCATAGGACTCTGAACCATAGCACTTACTTGCTGAAGTATCACTATTTAGTTAGACAAAATACACTGACCTAGTGCGATTAGTTGTGTGCGTGACTGGTGGGCATTTGTTGTGCCTTTTCTCAGTGTCTGGAACAGAAAATGGAAACCCTATTTGTTAGATGACAAGTGATGATGAAAAACTGAAATCCATTATATTGACAATACACTATAGTTCTAAAGTACTAACATTCAAGCAGAACTCCTACCAAGCGTGTATAACCTAAATACAAAATCAGGAGTGAATAAAAACAAACTCGTTGTTATTCACTCTTGATAATATATATTCGGCATTTATCTTTTTAATAAACTTATGAGGCACGTGATACTAACTTACCTATTCTAACTCAATCTGAAATTGACCAAATACCTAAATCTAGAACACTTTTAGAAAGGTATATCTGTCAAGATTGTACACCTTTATAGCAACAGGTATTCTACCACGCACGAGAATTTTGTATGAAAACTGATATTATATATATATATAGTCGTCTCTTGGACAGAATTCGCCTTGTACAGGAGTGATTGCGCAGGAGTAGCTAATACTGATCACTTCACATATAGTTGCACTCCTTAGTCGTACTGCAAGCAATAGATTCCTCTGCAGAGCTGATACTGCTTCCTTGGATGCTGCACACCTGGTCTTCAATCGCACTCATAAAGCTGGGAACCTTAGCTAACAGCGGATGTGGAATACGCGACACATCGTCCCCTAGCCACTTGGTGGCACCCGGTATACGTAAACCCCCCTCCGTAGTTTGTAGCTGCAGCGATATCGGCTGGCGCGCAGCAATCAGGCGACCGGGTGCGCTGCCGCCGCCGCGCGCCGCCGCGTTGCCTTTGTTCGAGACCGACTCCTGCGAGACGGGCTTGACACAGCACGGAAACACGACGGCGATGTGCCGACGCAGCGACTTCTGCAGGAAGATGTAGGAGAGCGGGCTCCAGGCGGACGAGCTGATCGCGAGCAGCGTGAAGCACTGCATCAGCAGCACGTTGTCGATCGTCAGCGTGACGCCGTCCTTCGTGTCGTACATCTGGACGATGTTCGACACGTAGAGAGGCGTCCAGCAGGCGGCGAACACGAGCACGACGACGATGCACATGCGGATGCCGACGCGCTTGTAGCACAGGCACGCCTGCACCGCGTGCGTGCTCACACCGACCGGCTTGCGGATCCAGAGCCGGTGCGCGATGCGCACGTACACGGCCGTCATGAGCAGCAGCGGCACGGCGAAGCTGACGGCGAACGTCAGCCAGATGTAGATGATCTCGAAGTCGATTTGCTGATTGTCCTGCGTGTAGTAGTAGCGCACCCACTTCTCGGCGCAGTACCACGCAACGCCGCCGTCAGTCGCGTTCAGCCCGACCGCCGAGATCACGACGAGGTAGGGGGCACCGAGCGTGATGCCGAGCAGCCACGCGGCGGCGATGCCGACGCTCGTATAGCGCAGGAAACCGCGTGCGCGGCTGCGCAGCGGGTGCCTGATCACGTGGTAGCGCTCGGCTGCGATCCAGCACAGCGTCAGCGACTGCACGGCGACGAAGCACGTCCGACTGAACGGGATCACCTTGCATAGCCACGTGCCGAACGGCAGCCGCAGGTCGAAGAGCAGCATGGCGACCTCGCACGGCAGCCATGCCGACGACATGAACAGGTTGGTGATGGCGAGCGACGACACGCACATGTACATGCTCGTGCGCATCTCCCTGCAGCGCGTGTACAGGCAGAGCAGCAGCACGTTTCCGGCGAGCGATACGATGCAGACGACGGCGTAGATGGTGGTGAGCAGCACCTTGAAGGGTATGCTGAGCAGCTCGTCAGGCGCGTCCATCGTCCCCGACTGAAATCTCGGCAGCAGGTGCATAACGGGGCTAGTCATCATAGAGCGGCGGCGACTGGGGAACTGACGTGGCGGAAGGACAACCTCTCGCGTGGAGCCGACTCGCAGTCGATACTCGATGCATGGCTATACCCTTGTGCGCTCCCCTGTACAAAACGCTGCGAGCGGTGAACAGCCAAATTCCCAGAGCGCTCCATGTCGCTCAGCCTGCAGCTCTATGAGTGAATACGCGCGGCCACTCTCGGGTTTATAGCTTAGCAGCAGAGTGCTGCTTGCGAAAAGCGGATGTTGAGCAGAAACTCCAGAGACAATCAAACAGTAGCTTGCCAAGCAGAGTGCAGTGTGGCTTGCCTGTCAGGCAACCACCGACACCAGCAAACACGCAACTCCATTAATACACTAGCCTGCATCCTAGCAACGCTCTACGACACTTAATTAACCTCAACCACATCATTCTGAGATTATGAGTTTGAGTAAACGAACTCGCCGGAATGGTGTGGACGTTTCAAGAGCTGGACAACACCATGTGATGCACGAATTTTGTTTGCACAGCAAATATTTTGTGTGCATACTTAGTTTACCTTGGTGTTTGGCATCGCCTGCTCCTACTGCTTTCCCAGCATGAGGCTCTTCGTGACTCACCCTACAAAACGAACACTTAGGGGATAAAATACAAAGCAAAGGTCTTTATTATGGTCTTTACTTACTGCAATTAGAACATTATAAACAGAGATATTTCATTAAGAAACAACATGCATAGAAGCCTATGATGCACGAAGCCAGATTTACATGTTTAGTTTCGCTATACAGACTTCTACTTACCAACATATTTTATATGCAATTCTCCTACGCTACAAATACCTCTTCCCTCCCCATTTGCAGTTTTTCTTTTTCCACCCATTAATTCGCTTCCTTACCTAGTTTTCATCATGGGCGTGTGCCTCTCTGTAGGTGCTGAGATGTCATGTACCTCCTTGTCCTCCACAGTTCCCTCAGATGACACTTCATCTGCACAGTCGCTAGTAGATGACTGGAACGCACCCCGCCATGAGTCACTCTTACCTTTTATTGACTTATTCCCAATCTTCCAGCTGCTTTGTGGCTGGGAAAAGCGAGATAAAAACAGAGTTTATCGTATCAAAATGCAGTTTCTGCCATTTTGCTTTTTCGCTTCCACACTACAGTAACAGCCACTGACTGACTTTTTTACTCATGTATGTGACGTTTTATACATATTTTTTGGTGGTTTTTGTATTAGAAAATAACATTATGTGTTTGGAGATGCATATGAAGCATTACCAGATAAAATTAATTTGTCTCATGGTTCAATGCACATGAAAGGTACAAGACATAACATGATGCCAATGCAAATAATATTTGATATGTGACTGACCATATTTGATATGTGACCTGATTCTAATAGTAATAATGTATTGCAAGCATAAAATTAGATGTTTGGTTGAGGATTTATAGTTTAAGGAATAACTACTACACTACTAAATCCTTGAATATTGGCATAAAAATTGGCTTTGAATTTTATTGGCATTTAATTTGACTCACAATGAAGAAAATAATGCTACTACTGAACTAGGTTCCCTTGTCTTCCATCATACAGGGGCTGAATCATCTCATGCCCTAAATACTATCATGAGCTGCAGCTTAACGCTAATGTGTAATTTGTGAAGTTCACAATAATGATTAAAGATATGATTATAATCAAGTTATCAATGACAACATGGGATTTGTGTACAGAATTTTATCTGCCCTGTAAGACTGGAATAACCATAGCAAGATATAGCGAATACATAGCCACACAGACAGAGCCATCACAGATGGACAGATAAACCATTATACTGGGGCTACTATTCTGTATTATACAGATTAATATAATATAATTATTTATATATATATAAATATATATATATAGTATGTATTACTTATAAAACTACATACAGCCAGTATAACTACATACAACACAGTAAAACCATATAGCTTGAACTAGGTACAGACATGGGCGAATGCAGAAATGATTCTAATATGCAAGATCCACATTGGCTAAAATACCGATACATGTAACATATTCCCTGAGACCCTTCATAACCCCCATTATATAAGATTCATGATGTTTTTGGAACTGGTATTTAAGGAGTGCATTTTATATGTGCATAAAATCGACATTGTGTTCAAAGTTATTCATATAACATGTGTAGTGCTTGTACATAGTGTCATTCTATTGTTTGGCTATAGGAACTAGATTTTAATTGTAGTGCATTGGTATGAATCATTTATATTATATTTTTTATTCATAATTTCATATTATCTGCTGCCATTCTATATTTAATGCATCATTTGCATAATACGATACCTTTGATTACGTTAGACTCTATTACCATTTGATTGTTAGTCACTTTTTTACATATTTTATTAAGTTTTATTTATACCATTAGATATCACATGTATATGTAAGGGTTAGTCCCACCAAAATTATTATATTGAATACTAATGTTACTCACACTTAAATTCCAAACTGAAGCTTGAAAATTGGTGCAGACATTAATTAGTACTGTTTCTAAATTACAAAATTCTTTTACTTTTTCAAGGCAATATTTCACAAAGTGAATTAGCATTGTTAGAATAATAGCTTGCATGATATACTGATATTATTAGACACGATCACTCAGACAAGGCTGTAGCAGATCACTCTTCAAAGACTTTTTAAGACACCAATTTTACAAATGATACTGATTGCAATGATTATACTATTTGCATGCATATGCTAGTTGCTGGTGTAGCATACGCAAAGACTTTCAATGTTTAGTTGTGGGTTTCACACACTGGCGCCCACAGGTCATAAGAAAGTAGAAGCACAGAAGGATAAAATCCTCAGTGATAATAAAAAGCAGGCGCGCTGCATGCTAGGGAAGTCTGTGGGCATGCCCCCCTGAAAATTTGTGAATGATAGACGTCTGGAGATGCAATCTGGTGAGTCTTGCGAGAGAGATTTAGGAACAAAATATAGAAACAAAATTTTTTAACCCAAAATTTACTGGAAGCACTGTGCTTCCAGTGCTTCTATCTGCGGGCGCCACTGGTTTCACATATTCTTGGGAGAATGTACTCACTTTTGGCTCCCCATCTGCAGAAAAATACTGCTCCAAGAGCTGCTTGGCAACCTGCCAACGAAAACCGTCATAGCCAGTTACGCAACAGTTCCACATACTTACCAGAATTGGCTGCATGTAATAGTAAGTTACATACCAGGGGCCGGTTTCACGAAGCGTGATTAAGCGTGATTATCTTTAATCATATTAAGGACTTAATTACGCTTGGTGAAACCGGCCTCAGTTCAATAAACTCACTAGGGATGTAATGACAGACTGAACAAACAATTAACTTACTGCAATCGTGTTTGGCTCAATAGCAATCCATCGATGGCAAAGTAAAACATAGATAACTATCAACAATAGTTCACTGAACAATTAATAGTTTTCGATAGTTGCAATATTAAAACTCTAGGCTAATGTATATTTACTGCTGAACCGGTTTTCACGCATAAATATGCCTGGAAACTATTACTTACACAACAATTTTTCAATTACTGCAATATAGTATCGGCAATAATATATTTCAAGTATTGAAATACTATCACAATAGTAAAATGTATCTTAGTATTTACCAACTAATATTTACCCGACTTGGCAGTAATATATGCCCCTTTGTTTTATCACCAAGTTCCTATTAAACTCTCATTTAATATTAATTGAAGATTAAACCATTAAAATGTTAAGGTCATGCAGCTATGCAAAACAGTCAATAACTGACATATAAACAGAATAATTGCCAACTCCTTCTATAGACACTGTGTTTTCTTTAGACACAGATGTCCTTGGAGCATTCTATAATAAACACTTTTGTCCTACAGTAGAAGATATATACACATTTCACACATTTCCAACTCACACCAGCTTTCTGGTAGACAGGGGACCATGTGTATAGTGTAGACTTTCCAACACTACCACCATGCTGAAAGTTGGCTGCGTGCCAGCACGACGTGCCGGAATGCAGCTAATTGGGGAGGAGTCAGCAGATGCTAGCTCACGAGTAGCATCAACTGCCCTAACACAGCTTGGGTGTGTAACGGAGCAGAGCTGCACATTTTCTCACATCCAGAGGATATGCGATACTGGTACGTCGTGAGATGCTATATAGCCTAGTGCGCTGATGGTGTTTCACCTGAGAGCTTGTGTGAAGAATTCAGATTTATGCACTTTAGTGGATTTAGATTAGCAAGTGCTGCAGCGTTATGGTGGTAATGGGTAGGTATAAGTGTAACAGTGCAGCTGTACGTGGTTTATTCCATGGCTATTCTTGCAACCATGACCCTGACAATTTGCAAAGGCGAGGGGTGTTCGTAATGACATATATAATTAAGTGATCTAAAAGGAAATAAAAGTGAAGAAACATATCTTCCCAAACCACTCCTTTCCTCACTCCCTCCCCCCCTTCTCTCCCCCTTCCCTTCTCTCTCTCTCGCTCTCCACCCCCTCTCTCTATCTGCCCTCCTCTTTCTTCATCTCTCTTTACAGAAATGCCACATTTATTGTTGATGTACACAGCTTTTCTGGAGTAAGACCTTTTGCCATTCTATCTTTACCAGTAACACACTGATAAGATTTAAAAAAATAAATTTCTATAGCATAGGCATTTATGCCACATGAATGTAACAGGCATTCAACAAACATAACAGCCAAAGTCTACTGACCAAACTACCAACTCGGATCGCCATTTAATTGCCATTACTGACTGTACCATCATAATTCAATCATTTTGTTCTATCTGTTGTGAGATAATTAGCGTGCTTATAGCGGATTGAAAAATAGACACCACGGCCGGGCAAAAATGCTGGCACGTGCAAGTTTGCAGGGGTTAACGTACAAACCAGGGTAAGGGACTTACTGAGCTGGTTATAGTGACGTGTCTTGACACCGTGGTAAGCCATAAACTCTTTTCAAGGTTCAAAAATCTTCTCTTTCTGAAATTGCTCAATGCTGTATGAAAATGTGTGATGTGCTCATCTAAGTAGCACTCGGTGTAGATGGAGTGGCAGAGCGTATACATTCCCGCTGACACTGGCAGGATATCAGGATTAAGTCTATGATTTATCTACAGATGACGCTTTGGACCAAGCAGTGCATATCACCGTTACCAGGACGTGCCGTCGGCATGCAAAATAGTTAAAATAAAGACTATAACTAGTATTAACTACACCTACAACCTACCAACTTCAAACCGAACCATCAACGACGATACTGACCACATTTTTTCACTCACACTTCACAAAACCAGAGATGATCATCAAGAGTAAATAAAAGTCTGTTAAGACACTAACCTTAAGGACCTCTGGTCGACCACAGGTCATTTTGATTGTAGTGTCCTTCACAGTGACACTTACACGCCGGGGGACCTAAAGATGAGACACATCGATCGACACTTAATGTACAGGAAAGTGAAATAAACCTAGCACACTATTGGATTTTTAGGAGTAATTTTTCTAACATTATGATTAAATAGAGAAACTTCGAATTTGTAAACTTTAATATTGCTACACGTGTAAGTTGTGAAGAAGCATCTGAAAATATTGTGCAAAATTATCTTGCCATACAATTAAGTGTTTGGACTCACGTTGTACAAGATTTTAAACAACTTTTAAAACGATATTACACGCGAAACGTGAATGATTGTTACTGCTGCCCTGAGCATTTAATTCTATGAAATAGGGGGGAATGATGTGTAGAAAATCAAACCCATCCAAGAGATCAGATGCCAATACCTCCACTTCTGCATCTTTGTTTTGAGTGACTTCACTGACGAGACTGTTAGAAGATGTGTTTCTGCTGCCCTTTACCAGCAATTTGGCAGCACTTCCTTCCTCTGATGCTCCACTGCAGAGACTAGACATGCTGCCACTCCTCTCATACTGAAAAATTGTGGCACCACAGTTACCTGACAGTGATGCCACACAGCTCCCAACTACTCCACCAACCCACCAAACAACCCTTACCTACCAACCTACCACTCCAACAACAAACCAACCATGTTCAACCAACCCCTAAATAAAAGGGGTTTATGATTGAAGATGAACAATGTAAAGAATGAATTTACAAAGAGAAAAACTGCAAGGTACAGTTTGGCACAGAGTAAGCCTAGGGGACACGTGCCGTAGGCAATTAACTGAAGCAAGAACGCACCCTTATTGGAGACACATTTCTCTTTATAGTTTCCTCTATCAAAACTTTGGCATGGCTGAAAGAGGAATACAGATAATATGAATGAGAAAATTTGACAAGATTATGATCATGTTATTTCCCCACCCATGCAGTCCTCCCTATGTTACTAATGGCACATTTACTTGTTGTTACATGACATGGAACCGGGTTTACCTTGAAATAATATTCGCTGGAACATGAGTTACATAGAATGTCGTGAATGTCAGGCAAAAGTATAAGAATTTAGAGAGAAGAAATTTAGAAGAAGTTAGAAATGAGACGTACTTGATAGACTCTTCTGAGGGTCCCGTGATTTGAACCGTCCTTTCCTTTGCTCCTTGGTTTGCTGTTTGAAGAAATGTTATAAACATGTGTGAAATTGTTAGTACAGCATCTTGCCAAAACTTTACCAAGCTACATTTACAAGACACAGATACTATGCACAACTGTATGTTATTCTCAAAGTGCTGAAATGCAAGACATAAAATTAATGAAGATTCAAATTAAAATATGAACTCAAATTCAGCATTCTCTAAATCCAGAAACAGCACTGTGAAATATTTTGTGACATTTTTAACATTGTGATTGTTCACAAAAAATATCATATATGGTGTATACATCAAAACGCAGAAATTATGATAACGAAACGTTAGATCTGTTACCAATATTCTCACAAAAGGCTCTTTCTGTTTACTTAACATAGCAGTGCATGCAGATGTAATATGCCTAGGCCAGTAGGCTATTAGTATTACCATAACAACAGTAAGCATGGCCACTCATTCTTGCTTTTCAAGTTACATAGAACACGTAGCATCTAATAAAACACAGTAGCAAGCGGCAAACTTCTATTGTTCAAGCCACTACCCTGCTATGTTTCAGCACATATAACTGCTGTATCCTTTGAAGTGCATCTTTGTAAAGTGTAAAGTTCATTCAGGGTTTATTCTGGTACTCTGTAACATGTAAACTTTTGTTACTGCATGTCATACGTATTTTTATGCAAAAACATAGCGTGTGGATTAGTGCATTTCTTGATGGTATACTGTTTCTCCACTCTTCTCCTCTACTTTACAAGCCACTATATGCCTATACAGCATTCCATGCATAACTGATATACACGGAATAGTATCACAGCTTGACCATGCAACCTGCATGCAAACGCAAGCATAAGAGAGTGATTTGTACCACGCTGGAATGAAATCACAGTGTCGCTCATTTCCTCTATCATGTGAATTCGTCGACCCTTTATGCCCATCACTGCACGAAACAAAGAACATGTGTGAAAAAAGAAAAAATCACCAATACCACTATATTGAGTGATGTAAAGCATGCCAACTATGCAGACAATTCACTGGCCAGAGTAATATTTTACCAAAAAATACGACTTTTAGTCGTTTTTCAAATTTGTGCTAAACAGCTTTGCTGTATTTTGTTTGTCATCTAAAAATGGATAAACGTCGTTAGCACAGACATACTTAGTACACTAGTGAGGCAAACAGATATTGATGGTGCAACTCATGTAAATAATAAAATATTTGTGATGTAGTCCTTTGTACATGTATCGAAATACACCACACTGACAAACTTATCTAAATGTTCAATGTAAACTTGATCTTCGACTACCCCACTCCATAAAAAACCTATTATAGAATTACAACAGCGCCACAATCATTCCTCATTCAGCCATTCCAATATGAAAGCTGCACTTACAATTACTCCTTACCTGCAACAACCCTAATGCTGAAACCTACTAATTACAACTATACCTTTCCCACAGCAACAATAGCAGCATAACTATGCTTACACCAATATTCCTCCTACATTCATCCTAACACCAAAATTACTTGTACAGCTAGATCACCACAATCAGGCACGGCTACTACTGCAGCTACAACTACCCACTCTTGGTGTATCAATCATTAAAACTACTTCAAAAGTCTTCAACAATTAGATTTCTCAAGCTATCACCTGAAAACCGATTTCTGCCAATCTCTGTAGCACATAGAAAATTCATTTACAAGTACCCATGCTGAATGAGAAATAACAGATACAGAAAGAATGCATATAATTGCAACAAAAAAACGACTACAAAGGTCTCGGGACCTTATTTCGGGCATCTATAAAATTTCATAATTTATTGGCATTCCAATAAATCGAGTGTGATTTACGAAGTGGTTTAAAATATTGCTGACTATCATAGTCTGAGCTAGTCTAACATATCTAAAAAGGCTAAATAGTCATTTACATTAAAGTTCTAGTTTGAAGCTGACAGCAGTCTCATCGTCCTACTGGTGGTTGGTAGGCTTACTGGTAGCGACACACGAGAAAAGCAAACAGCTAAAGTTTTAAATCAATATATATATTTATAGGATTGACATTAAATATAATTTGTAGTCCCTAATAAAGCCATCACTTATTTACCTTTTCCTGAGTCACTCCCTCTAATGAGGATTTCATCTTTAAAGTAGTTTTTACCTGGTACTCTGAAAAAAATTGATGAAAATAGCATTAATATGAGAATCTGAAACCAGATAAAACTCATGAAAGGTTCCATTTCCTTTACTATATTTCTTTTGATTTATAATTCATACAACATATCAATGACTGATGTTGATTTTTATCCTGAGAGTTCAACTATGTTAACCCTTTCCACTTAGCTCCCTGCTCTTCAACACTAGACATCCGTTCAAACGAAGACACTATTTTGTCTACTATAGCTTGGTAAATAAAATATAAACACAGAAGGATTTTCCACTAATGTTGCTGTGACATTTTCATTGAATACAAATGAGAATCAGGATCAAAATCCAGTAGCATGAGAAAATTATTTTCAACACGATCAATTCAAATTCCATTCTTTGTATATTCAGATTATATATAGCATAATTCCAGTGCATGATTCTATTTACTTGAAAGGCTTAGCGTATTTTCCCGATGGTCTGACAGTGCCAGGTGACGGAGGGGGACCACTGCTTAGGGTGCCAGGCACCACAGTTGTGGCTGTTGTGATCTGGCCAGCATAAACTTCACTTAGAACAGCACTGCTAACTGCGGTCTCTTTCTCTGACTCTTCAACCTGGGTGAGAATACAGTGCTTTTTATAGTAAAATGCAGAAATAACAACACAGTACAAGAGAACTGCAGAAATGTAGGTAAAGGGGAATGATACCGACCATATAGACTATTACTTTTAACACAGACACTCTTAGATTACTCTTAGCACAAGCTCGGTTCTTAAAGAGAAAATTCATCACGGTTCAAAAATATATGGCACTTTTGCACACAATTTTGCACATAGCCCGGCACATATGTGAACGAACAGGCAGATAATAACAGGCAGATAGATAGACAACAAATCAAAAGTAAATTTGGAGTTGGTCACAATAGAAAGAAGAACTAAAAACATTAAAACCAAACTTATATAAACGGAACCTCACAACCTGGTTGTACATTTTTCAAAAACAGCTTACGAAAGTAGAAAACCTTTAGAGACACAAATGCCTAACAAAGCAGATGTAATTAATCTTCATTAAAAAATGAAAACGTGAAGCAAATATATGAATACCATTGAAGAGAGAAGTAAGGAGGACACACTGACAAAATTATCTGAGGCAGAGCTGTGAAATTACGTGACGAAATATTTAAGAATTTAAAGAGAAGTTATACAAAAGAACTATTTTTAAGCACACAAACGTGGTTTATATGGATCTATCAGAAACAAGCAGAGAATCACACACACACGTACACGCGCATACGCACACGCACACGCACACGCACACGCACACGCACACGCACACGCACACACACACACACACACACACACACACATCACTGGTCAGCGCAACATGTTTATGAGCGCACCGCATGTATAGTGGTCGTCTGCCTTCACGTATCAGATGGGCACGCATATCCACGCGACACAATCCCCGTGTGTTAGGCTATTAAATGCCGGACTTACAATGTCGAGTAATGTATGTTTGCAAGCTATTAGCGCATGTTATAACACACGACACGTGATCCATAGTGCGATATGGGAACATGTTATACCCCACGGCACGTGATGAATAGTGCGATATGGGGACATGTTACATCTATACCCCACGGCACGTGATCAAAAGTGCGATATGGCGACATGTTATACCCCACGGCACGTGATGAATAGTGAGATATAACGGCATGTTACGCACCACGGCACGTGTGTTCTATAGTGAGATATAACGGCATTTTATACATCATTGCACTTGTGTTCTATAGTGAGATATAACGGCATGTTACACACCATGGTTCTCTCGCACAGGCACTTGGAACGTTTCAATAGTAAAATGATGGTAGATAAACACGAAATGCATTTACTACCAAAGTCTCAATGTTTTTCTACTCTCTTTCGCCTATTATTGCCGATAATTTCATGTAAATGCCGTTTAAATGCTCCTCTACATTAAGACCTTGGTAGTAGGTATATTGTGTGTTTATTTACTATCATTTTACTATTGAAACGTTCCAAGTGTCTGTGGTCTCCCGTTCCCACTCTGTCTTCTACCCACTCTGAGTACAGTTACGGTGAGAAAAGGTTGGAGCAGCATTTACACTACATTTTAGTGCTCACCAGAGGCTGGGATATTGTCGCCACTGTCACTTGTCAGGCACTGACGTGTATTGTTGCATTATACAGCGTTGAGACAGGCTTCTGCTGGACCATGTTTCCACCCTCTCGTCTTGCCGGCCAATTGATAGACGCATTATTACTTATCTCTCACGATTGATTTTTTTTACTTTCCCCCTATCTCGCCCTCTTTCCGTCTCATTTTTTCTTCCTTCCCCCTCTCTCACTCTCTTTCTCTCTTTCTCTCTCTCTCTCTCTTCCCATCCTTGTCTTTCTCTCCCCCCTTCTCTCTCTCTTTCTTTCTCAATCTTTTCCCTTCCCCTCTCTCTCTCTCTCTCTCTCTCTCTTCCCATTTCTCTCTCCCTTTCTCTCTCTCCCCCCCCTCTCTCTCTCTGTCCCTCTCTTTTCTACCTCTTCGTCTTCCTCTCTCCGTCTGTGCTGAGGTTTGCACGCTCTCCCTCACGTTCCCGACTCTTGCAGGAGATACTATCGGAGACGCCCGCTTTGACACAGCTACATTTCGAAGACTGTGACTTTCTCAGTGACATCGCGATTGCCGCCGTCATACACTCGCTGAACGCCGACCTGCAGTCGTTCTCGGCCGTGCGTGTGCCACTCAACGACGCCGCCGTCGAGATGCTGACGGGTCGCTGTCACGCTCTCACCAGCTTCTCCCTCACCGACTGCCGCGCCACCTCGGACAAGGCGCTGCGCTCTCTCGGCCGCAACTGTCGCGAGCTGAAGTCGCTGAGCGTGCGCTTTAGCGACGTCGCCGACGCGTGGGCCGACGACGACGTGCTAAAGACGCTGCTAACGTCGCTCACGTCGCGGCTGTACTCGCTCTGCGTCGTCGGCATGGCAGGCGTGCGTGACGCAAGCGTCGAGAGCGTGTCGCAGAGCTACGGCAGCTCGCTGTGCAGCGCCGACTTCTCGCGATGCAAGAGCTTCGGCGACGCGGCGCTGATCGCGCTCGCCAAGAACTGCAAGTACCTGCGCGACGTCGCCGTTGACGCGACCGACGTCACCGACGTCGGCGTCATCGCGCTCGCCGCCAGGTGTCACCGCCGGCTGCACGCCGTCTCGCTGGGCGAGACGCGCGTCACCGACGCGTCGGTGACGGCGCTCGCCGAGAGATGCGCCAAGCTGGCCGACGTCAACTGCGCCGGCTGCGAGCGTCTCACGGATGCGTCGCTGATGGCGTTGACGCTGCACTGCCCTCTGCTGGAGCGCATCGTCTTCGATGGCACATCGATACACAGGCTGCCTGTGCTCGTCGTCAGGCTGTCGCGTCTGCGCATGCTCAGCGTCGCCGCCTGCACGGCCCTGGTCTACCCGCCCAACGACGTCATCTCGCACGGACTGCCTCGCATCTGTGAATTCTACCGCGAGCGCACGCTCTCATATCGGTAGCCCTGCTAGCATACGTTCACATCTATTTCTAGCTGAATTAGATTATATAATTATCGATTAAATGATCGATTAGACGATATAGAATTAATGACAGATAATAGAATTAATGTAAACTATATATACATCTAATCTGTAACTACATTTAATCAATATCTACAGTCAATCTGCATCTACATCTATTCTATATCTACATGTAATGGGGAGGGAGGTATGTGTGTGTGGGGGGGCGTGTGTGTCTGTGTGTGTGTGTGTGGAGGGGGCGTGTGTGTCTGTGTGTGTGT